TGAAAAGGAATACACGTATGTATATGTATGACAGAAATGTGATGCTGTACACCAGAAATTGACAGAACATTGTAAACTGACTATACATCAATAAAAAAGTATTTTTTTTAAAAAAGACACTATGAGAAATGAGCAGCTGTCCCATTCTACCCTCTCTTTCACCAGAACAAAATCATTCTTCAAAAGGGCACATGCTGTTTCATACAAACATTGGTGTTGGTATAGGATTGCATCTGCACTGTATAGAAATGCCATTCCCTAAGCAGGATCTGTTTGCTGATGTAAAGGATATTAACTCCAGAGATCTTCTCAAATAGCTTTAGGGCCATGCCCGAGGCTCACTGTCTTTTTCTATTTGCCTCAGCAGTATCCATGGCATGATCCTTCCACTTCGCATTTCTGCTAGTCGGGACAGGGTATCAAAACACTCTCCTCAAGACAAAAGTGGTGGCTCCGATGCACTCATATATGAACTTTAGAATAAAAAGGGAAAGTGATAGTAAAGAAAATTTATTCTGCTGTTTTTTAAAAGTTAGATTCTTATTTGAAATAGGTATTTGAAATGGATAACTAAATATAAATAAGAAATTATAGAAAATAAATTATAGAAAATAAGAAAACACAGGTGAATTTTTTTTCACAAGCATAAGCGTAAGAGCAATCATAAAAGGAAAACTGACAAATTTCACGCTTCAGACAACACGGAAGAGGACGTCTCCAGGTTTTCTTTTGAAAGTCATGATGGCATCCTGTCTTGCATACAGTGATTGCCCAACCCGAGGGACTTAGAAGTGGGCAGGTGGGCAGATACAAAGCAATTATACCTTTCATCAAAGGGGTGGGGCTGGCTACAACTCCAGGCAAAATGAAAAATGCTTCAATCAGCAAGAATCAAATGAAATATCACTAATCACTTCTTGCCAAAACTTATCAAAGCTAAATTTAAAGAAGCCACCCTATTATCTAAAATGAAAGAGCTGTTTTCTCTTGTAATCTTTTTTCGTAGACTGATCCCTTTTTTCCTTTCTCCTTTGTAGCATCACATTAAGAACTCTAGCCAATACTCTTCTGCCGAGGCTATGCTGAAGTGCGTTGTGATTACTGGTTTCTGAAAGTCTTCCCTTTGGTTTGTATAAGATGCGGAAGGATTGAGCTCACTGAATTTTCCCACAGTCATCATAAAACGCCAATACCGAAAATGCTCACACTTCATTAAATGTGACAGCTCCTTCCTGCCGCACAGCCCAGCGAGACCCTCCTACAACTTAAAAGGAAACATGTCCCTCCACGCAGTTGCCTGGGCTAAGATCACAGATAGGGCTCTTGGCTTTGTGGAAATTTATGCCATTCCAGAGAAGCTGACATTACTTCCATCAGCATAAAAGATGCAGCTGATTAATTTCAGGCACGCTGCTGTTTCTTTCATGCCAAATGCTAAGCATTCAATATAGCCCAACAACCCAGAGTATATGTTAAGAGTCTGCTGGAGCCAATACATGCAGTTAATTAGGGGAAAAAAATCTATGCCAGACTCACCATATGATCCAACAAACCCACTCCTGGGCATATATCCAGAGGGGACTCTAATTCAAAAAGATGCATGCACCCGAATGTTCATAGCAGCACTATTTACAACAGCCAAGACATGGAAACAACCTAAATATTTGTCCATCGACAGATGACTGGATAAAGAAGCTGTGGTATATTTATACAATGGAATACTACTCAGCCATAAAAATAATAAAATAAAGCCATTTGTAACAACATGGATAGACCCGAAGATCATCATTCTAAGTGAAGTAAGCCAGAAAGAGAAAAATACCATATGATATCACTTACACGTGGAATCTTAAAAAAATGACAAAACTGAACGTATTTACAAAACAGAAACAGACTCACAGACATAGAAAACAAACTTATGGTTTTTTACTGGGGGGGGTGGAGGGAAGAGGGTGGGAAAGGATAAATTGGGAGTTCGAGATTTATAGATACTAACTACTGTATATAATGTAAACAAGTTTCTTGTGTATAGCACAGGCAACTGTATTCAGTATTTTGCAGTAACCTTTAATGGAAAAGAATACGAGAAGAAATACATGTATGTATATGTATGACTGAAACACTGTGCTGTACACCAGAAATTGACACATTGTAAACTGATTATACTTCAATAAAAAAATAATTTAAAAATCTATGCCAATTTCTCCAACATCTCCTCTTTTACCAAGGGAAATATATTTTCTTCTCTTGGCCATCACAGAGTGAGAAGGATTCCTCAAACACAACCCCCTCCTTCTTCCAACCCTCTAAGGTTCTCTCCAGTGACACACTTCTAGGAAAATACCACTGCCCTTTGGGGTCACTAAGTCATTGCCTTTGTCTCCTCATTCCCCTGCATGCGCTGCTTCTTTCCACCCAAATGAAACCACTTACTCTAAGTCTAAAGGGCACTTAAGAATTTCTGTTGGCTAAATACAAGAGTTCTTCCAATTAAAAAGAAAAAAAAATCCCCACTCAAAACACCCGTCCACCAGCTGCCCAGTCTTTCTTACCTCCCCTTCACAGCTTACCTTCTTAAAAAAGTTGTTGGCTGCCATTCCCTCACCTCCACTTTCATCATACCCACACCATCTTCAACCCAACTTCCAGGTCCAAGTGCAGAAAAAACAGTTCTCACTAACGTGCCCAGTGATAAACAGTGCTCAGTCCCCACCAGGTGTGACCTCCCAGACCAGGAGCAGGAAAGATCCATTTTCTAAAGAGAGCTGCAAAAAAGGGGTGATATCCCCACCCCGTCCTCGGATGACTAAGAGATGGAGAACTGACTGCCCCCACTAGCCACCTCCTCCACCCCATGCCACACCCCACCCTATACACAAGCTGGGAAGGGGGCAGAGGAGGAGACTTGGGTCCTTACATTCTTGGCTTAGTGAAGAGTGCTGTCATGTCTTTGGAGGGCAGTGGGTGGGATGGGGGACAGGGGATGAAGAGATGTCATCACAGAGACCGGACATGTCTGCAAGAAGAGGAGACTGAACTCTCATTCCCCAAGTGGATAAGCAGTGGGCGTGCTGATTTGCTCTGCCCCTCCCAGAGCAAAGGAAAGGAAAACTACAGGAAGCCGGCAGGGCAGAAGAAGCCCCAGGTCTGCTTGGTTCACAGAACGACTGATTGAGATGCCTAGTTAGATCACCTTACTAGTACTCACCCAAAAGGGCCCCCTACCAGGGCCAGAGGATCCCAACACCAGTTACATGAGAGACATTTAACCCCTCCCTCTGCCTATGGAAGACACAGAGTCCAGGAGAAGGACAGGGAGGAGGGGTCCCAGAGGCAGCCCTCCCCTCCTCCTTACTTCCCGTTGCTCAAAGGACAAGGCTGGCAAGTGATAAGCTCAGGAAAAGCTTTAAATCCAATGTCTCTTTTTCTCATGGTGGTATTCCCAGACATGCCCAAGCAAGGGGGACGTGGTAGGCTTAACGATTATTTGTTGAAAAAAGGAAAAGCACCTTCTTAATTGTAACTCCTTGTCTTTCCTGCCTCATTTCCTCATCCAGTCACTCCTACACAAATGTTTGTTGAAGGTTAATTATATATAATTTAATTATGGAAAGATGATTAAGACATGTTCCCTGCCCTCAGCAAAGTTACTAGAGAAAATAAGTACAAACTTGCATCCACCACAGAAATTCTGTGAACAGCAGCATGGGAGTGATACCAAGAACCAAAGACACTACCTCAAAAAATCCAAACTACTTCGTGAAGTCTGCCCAGATCGGTTTAGATACAGAATTCTCATGCCTGCCCTTCCCATGACCACTGGCCCTTTATCCCTCCTGCTAAAATACATTTACCACTTGATGTGTTAAGGGTAGCAGTTTACATACCACCATCTGTGTGTGATATCCTGGAGAAAGCCAGGATAATCCATATTCCCTGGGTCTGGGGGAGACAAGCAGATTTCAATGCACAGCCTTGGACGGAGACTTAGAGAGAGGACAAGGTATGGATGGCCCTTCTTGGAACACTGCCATATGCAATCTGGCATAGAGGAAATGCTGCTGGTTTAGGACCAAGGGGAAGCCAGTGACGTACATTTCCCCTCAGAGAGCATCTTACCCACGAGGAGATGGTCACGCATCGTGGAGAATTGAACCACCGTAACAGCTGCCCAGAAATCACATGTGATTTAAAGCATTGCTGATTAGCAGACTCCTAGAATTACCTACCATTTAGAGCCATGTATTTGCAGAAATCAAATCACTCTGCATGACTTCTGGTTTCCTTATAATCTTTAGCTCACAATCCTTCAGCAACCATTATTGCTTCCCACACATATTTCTGATGGTTATTTTTAATGACCATTTTCCACCATAATTAGAATAATAAATACACGTTCAGTATAATAAAAAAATCTAGAAAATTCAGCAAAGTTTATAGCAGGAAAAACATCATGCATATTCTTACCAACACTGTTAATATTCTGGTATATTTCCACTTAAACTGTGTTTGATTTAATAGCTATTTGGAATTAATATGCCCCATAAGCCAACTCTGGTAAAAAATCACCAATATACTAGGATATAAACTGCCATCTGTAATCTCTTTCAATTAGGAACAAAGTTATATCTTCAATGACTATTAAACAACCAGTTTAGTTTAAAAAGCTTAAATTCAATGGAGAGAAAATTGGTTCAGAGAGTTGTTTAATGTAGGAATGCAAGCTGGCACTCTGCTTTTCTATTTGCCTTTCCCAATCGTTGGACAGCTATCGTTTCAGATATAAATCCCCTTAAACATAAATTCCCTTGATTGTTTAAAAGGATACACATGTGCAACTCTGGGAGGCACAAAAAACAGTGCTGGTCGTGTTTTCTTGACAAGTTGTTTACAATTGCCATTATTTATCAAGATACTTAAACAAGGATTTTATTTTCATCTCAGTGTTCCGTAATAGACCTGCTATTCAATGATAGTTCAAAGAAAAGTTGTTGGCTTACCTGATTAAGAAGTCATGCAGGCCAACGTCAAAATACCTGTTTAAGGGAGACAAAGACAGGCGTTATCAAAGGAAGACATTTACAGCAGTGGTGGACTTGACAAAAAAAATCGACAATTTATATTCAGAGCATGGTGGATACACGGATTACTCCATGACCAGTGGTTCTCAAAGTATGCCACAGCAGCGTTACCCGGGAACTTGCTGGAAATGCAAATTCTCAGGCTCCACCGCAGACATGCAAACTCAGAAAATCTGGGGATGAGGCCCAGCAATTAATTTAACACGCCCGCCAGGTGATTCCGATGCAGAACTACTGCTCTCTGATAGTACACATGTCTCTCTCTCTCTCTAGAAATAGAGGCCACAAGAGTGAATTTCACCATTTTTCCAAAAAGAGGAGTCTTTTTATAACATGCATTTGAGTAAATGTTCATTTACTCAAAAATAAATGAAATATGGTTTTCCTTTGGGGAGAGATCATTAGGTTTTTTTTACTCTTTAATGCAGGTACTAGAGACTGAACCCAGGCCCCTGTGCTTGCTAAGTACACACTCTACCACTGAACTACACCCTCCCCACTAAGTGAAACATTTGGCGGGGGTGGGGGGGTGGGAGGTAATTAGATTTATGTATATATTTTTAAGGAAGTAACTGGGGATTGAACCCAGGACCTTGTGTATGCTAAGCATATACCACTTGAGCTACATCCTACCCCCTGAAATATGTTTTAAAAACACAAAATCACACTGGCCAAAGGGAAGAACAGGGGTGGGGAAGGGTCAGTTCTGTTCCTCCCTCTCCTCCAGGACACAGCCCTGAGCTTTCCCGCGGAGAGAACCACCCGCCCCATCTGAGACGGCTCTAGCACGGAAGGGAGAAAGCCGTTCCGTGTGCTCACTGGTGAGCCTGTCATGGTGCCTGGGCCTCACACCAGGCATCCAATAAGCCCTGGGCAGCGGTGGACCCTTTCAGGCACACCTCTCCCAACGCCACCAGACTGGCTTAGTCCATAGGAATGGCACTGCCCTGGTTTCCCTAATGAGCAAGCTCGTTCCCCCTAAACCTCCAACCACTCAGCCCGTGTCCATCTCCCACCTTTGGGTCTAGCTGTGAGAGGCCTGAGGCATCATGCTGCTGCCCACCAGGTATAATCGCCACTGCTAACACCCCGATGGCGGTGGTTACGTACCTGGTATCCCAGCCAGCTATCTGCCCAGAGAAAGCCTGGATTCATCCTGCGCTACAGGCAGTGAGCAATGCACACAGAAATGCACCCGAGTGGGGTTTGACTGCCCAGGCCCTGACTGTCCCTAGCTTTCAGGTCCACCCTACCACCTGTCTCTGGAACATCTCAGGACATCCAGCACCTCACCACCCACACCCCGACATACAGCAGGTGATTACTGACATTTCAAGGATTCCTTGTGGCGTACCTTTAAATGACAAGATTCTTTTACGTACTCAGGCATCTGTTTACAGATTACAGACACGGGGTAGGTGAGAATAGAGACACGGAGCCAAAATATGAGGGACCTCATCTACTGTATCACTTACTTGAAATAATGATAAAATTCAGGGAAAATCAAATTCAGGATACATAAATTCCATTTACTCCTAAGCCTTCTGAACAGAGCTCTGGAGGAGATACACTTGCAGGGATAGCTAATTTGTTTCAGCCGGTTTTACATGGATCCAGATGAGGTCAATTGCTATCGTATTTAACATAGATCAAAAAAAAAAAAAAACAGAAATGATCCCTCCTGTCAACCAAAACCAAGGGTACATTGCTCGGCCACAAAAGTAAATCTTCAAACAACAGATAGCAATTGTAAGTCTGCCAGAACTGCAGTATGGGAGGCAGAAGTATGCATGAAGTAAAACAAAGATTTCTGCTTCCTTCACTCAACCAAACCTGTTCAGTCTTTTCAGTTATATACCAGCTACAGAAAGCATCAGACTCTGTTGCAGGAATCAGAGGCTGAATGGATGTGGAAGGAGCCACAGAGGCCCTAGGTATAGAGGTGGGGGAGGGGAAGAAGCCCCCACCACCCCCGAAGGAGTCATGAAAATCCTAATTACAGAAATTATTATTTATTGAGTATTTAGAAGGTGGCAACTACTATGTTCGGTACTCACCTACACGCGCAGTTACCGTAGGTGTCGGCATCCCTATTTATCCAGAGGCTAAGTAACTGGCACAGAGCTCACAACCAGCAGAGGACAAAGCTGGGAGTCAAACTGAGCCCTGAAGCTGTGAAATACCTGCTCTTCCCCCTAAAAGCACGGCTCTCCCCGCCCCTCATTATTACTCATTGAAAGTGGCTGCTGATTTTCAATAAATGAGCCCTTTCCGCCCCCACCTGATTTCTGTTTCTCCCGACCTGGCTGCCCGGCTCCAGGCGAGCCCACGTGCTGCGCTCCCTTTAAGCACACCTGCTCTGCAGGCAACATTTCCCGCCTCGGGTCTTAGAGTCAGCCCGGCTCTGGAAAGTTCTGTGAATCCTCTAGGCTCTAGCCTCCTGGCTGGGAAAATGGAGAGGTTGTGAGAATTAAGTGATAAAATATAGATACAGGGCTTAGCACAGCGCTTGATACACCATGAGGACTCAGTAAATAGTAACCTCCTTCCCTCCAATTTTTAAGAGTTGTTTTAATGGGAGCCCCATTCCCAGTAACTCAGTGGGAGCAGCAAGCCACCTTAAAAGAAGGACAGAAGTTGTCTTCCAATGCAGCCCAGAAAGAGAGGCCACTCAATCCAGGGCCCTGGCAGAGTCAGAGCACTGGAGAAAAGGTCAGCACGGATGGAAAATCTGAGGCACGAGCACAGAGCTCAAGAAATGGGCAGAAAAGCAGGAAGAGCATTTGTTCCGTGGGGTCCTCACCAAGAGCCTTGGGGCTGAGTGAGAGTGGGCTGGGTGGGGCGGGGCAGGGAGCCTCCTCCCACCGCCCCCACCCGGGACTCGCACCTTATTTGGATATACTGGCACACACCAGTACATACCAGAGCATGTCCAGTTTCACCAGTAACTATGTTCTCCTATGAAATGAAGCATCTAAATGTACAGAAGTGAAGGATTGTGAAAACATGCTGTGTTTCAGACTGTTTCTTCTCATGCCTGTGTGATTGGCTGAGAATGGAATTAGGGGCTGGGACAAGTTGAGGACCTTAAGGATCCTTGTGACAGGTAAGCTGATTAAGAATGAAGAAACCAGAGCCTGCCACCAAGCAGATTCTCAATCATTATCTTTTGAGTAAATTAACATGTGGATCACAGGCTGTCATGAGTGCCTGCCTGGGCACTCGGCACAGTAGACTGCAGGCAAAAGATGCTCAAAAGTAATTATTTAATATATCACTCTTATGTGTAAATACATTAAATAAACACCCACAAAGAGAAATGGGGCTTCTCTTCTGAAATAAGATAGCTATCAAACTACAGCACAATTATTCTTATCACCGTTGAAGAAAGTAACCTCTCATGGCTACCAGCTCACAATAGGCCAAGGTTTCCTTCTGAGAAGACATAAGAAGCAGTGGTCCTGTGCATACTATTCTTGCTTCCTTCCAGAAGATAAAAACAGGAAATCTTCTACACATTATTTTATATAAAAAAGATAAACAACAAGGACCTACTGTATAGCACAGGGAACTATACTCAATTTCTTGTAATAACACATAATGGAAAAGAATCTGGAAAAAATATATATGCATAACTAAATTGCTTTGCTGTACACCTGAAACTAACACTATAAATCAACTACATTTCAATAAAAGACAAAATATTTTAAAAGTAGGAAATCTTCTGTGTGCGTATGTGATATGAACATTTTTGTTGTCCAAGCATCAACTGATATGCAACAGCTTGATATACAAAAAGGAACTTTTGAACTCTTATTACCTCCCTCCCCTCCAAAAAAAAGTCATTAATCAATCAATGAATCAGAAAAAAATCCTGGGGAACTTTGAAGAAAAAAAAGGAACTTTTGAACAAGCTGCAATATCCTAATAAGGCAGTGAATTTCCCATCCCGAGTTCAAGCATGGGTTAAGAGGGTGTTTAGAGGAGACTGGAGCGTCAGCCAGAAAACCGGAATGGATGAACTTAAGGCTCCACGTGGCCTCAGGCTTCCGACTCCCTGCGTCAGTCACTTTCAGGAAGCGTCTCTAAGTATGAATGCTCACTTCCCCGGGCAGCAGCTCTGGTCTGATAACAATCAGCAAATTAGTAGACTGTGCCTGGGCTAATGCTTCCGTGGCAGCCCTGATGGTTTATCCATTATGATTCTGACTGCTGTTCCTGTTGCAGCTTCAGAGTGCATCCCAATTAGGCTCCCAGCACCTGCCAGAGGGGTCCTGCACTTAGGTTTACTCGTGGAGCACACAGCATCCGCTTCGGCCAGAGAAGGGGTCAGGCCCACCGTTGGCAGTCTTAAGTGGGTAGGCCGGGGGACCCAGGTCAAAGTTCACAATAACTTGCGTGTATATGAGGTAAGAAGTAAATGTACGTATGCGCTAGTAGCATGCGTCAGCATTATGAACAAAACGCATGCGCAAACAGCATGAGTCAGCATTATGAACAACACGCATGCCCGGGCATTATAAAAGGAGAAGTGCGCACACCTGCACGCGCCACCCGCTTGTACGTAGTAAGGTGCTGTTATGCTCCATGTGGGCGGGCTCCTCGCGCCTTCTTCCAGTCGGGCAGCGCACCTCCTTGAATCCCTCTTTGGCCTCCTGTGGCTGACACGCACACAGTATGTCCGTGGCAGAATTCGTTCCAGAACCCATAGCTGGTTCCGGGATTTGCTCTGCTCTGCCAGGCTGCCTGCCTTTCAGGGTCCTGGTCCTTCCTTCCAGGTTGATCTTGGCTGTTCGGGACTTAGGGACTAAAGAAGAAAGGAACGGTGCACCAGAAGCTACAAATGCCACCTAACCAGTGAGGTATGTTTTAGAACCACCGTGGTATGGCCACCTAGCCTGACACACGCAGGGCAGTGTCTCTGTGAAGTACCATATTCACACTCAGTCTTTGCC